CTGCTCCTTCTGAATCTGAGTCAATGACACATTGTGTTAATGTGAAGCCAAAGTTTCAGCATACTGCCTGCTACCACCAAAGCCAGCAGCATACTATAGGCCCAAGGACAGCATATTATAGGAGCACTTCAGGATTGCACATGAAGACCTATGCTGTGCTATCTAGGATTACTTTGAGGCATGGATCTGCAGGGGAAGACATATTGATCTTGGAAGTGTTTAAGCATCTCTTCAGATATAATCCAGTTGTCCTTTACCCTTCTGGAAGCATCAAGCAGCTCATGTTGCCAATTAGTGGCAAGGTAGTCAGCCTGAAGGTGGCAAGCCACTGTTGGTCCAGAAGTATCCTATATGGTATGTGCAGTTGCACAGATAATGGCTTTGTATGACCAGCTGTTCAGCATAGTGGAGGATCCTAGATTCCAGAACCATCTCCATCTGGTTTCCTGTGATTACCAGATCCCCTCAAGCAACTACTTGAGGGGGTGATACCCTCTTTGTATAAGTGTCATGGGGAGGAAGGGTCAGAACTGCTGCAAGCAGTAAGTCTAGTCTACTTTAATCCAGTCTAGCTGAAATTATGTATATATTTCTTACCTCTCCCTCACTGTGTGCTAGCAGGGGTAGAGTGAAAAGGGACATGGAGAGCTCAACATATAGGTGCAGTTTGTTGGTATCAGCTATATGTTCACAAAGTGCAGTTGGTGATTCAGGATTGTCTTGGTCTAGAGGGGGCCAGCATTAGGGTCATCCCAGCTGGTTTCTTCCAGTGTTTTTATGGACAAGTGCCATAAGATTACTGGTTATTTTCTTCCTTTCATATAAGAAAGATGGATGCTGGACCAGGTCAAGTTCCAGCTATTCTGACATCTAATCCCTTAGGATGTCCTCGCCTATTAAAACTCTGCTTGCCTAGTGTTCAAGCATTCAGCTATATGTCTCCTTGACCTCCAGGAATGGGACTCACAGCTGTGGCTATACTTGAGTTCTTCACAGTAAAACTCGTAAATATAGAGACAGCCATGCTGATCTAGATTCTCTCCTTGGCTAGAACTCCTAGAGAATCTGCACTCTAAAAGACAACAGTTTTACAACTGGACTTTGCACTGGAGTTGTGTAAGGCTTGATGTTATTAGGTTCTGACTAAGCATGTGTGTTTTCCAACCTATATGGCCCAAGGATGAGGGGGACAGTTGCCAACACCAGCGATCTCTCCTGGCAGGGAGAGTTCCTAGTTAGGGTGCTGCTGTTTGGTTCAGGTAGCAGTGCAGAATGCTCTGTTTTGTACTAACTAAACAAGCCAAAGGAAATAGAGGGGATAGATCTGCTCCAGTTTTGAGCAACCATTGCCAAAATCTGGCCACACATACCTGTGGTTTTCTGGCAACACATCTCTTGCCCATCAGCCAGCATTTTAAGCTAGAGATTCTTCTCCGTTTACATGGTGTGGTGACACTCTCTCACTCATGCCCAATCATGGACTCAGTGAAGCAACTTATCTTCCGTAATATGAACCTCCCCTTGCTGGATTACACCAGTCTCCCACTAGAAGGGACTAAAGGCTAGCCCCTTATTTCCTGCTAACATCAATCTGCTCATTGTCCAGATACAGCCAATTCACCTGGGTCATACATCATCCACTCACTGGAGCAAGTCATAAGAGAACCTAACTCATGTCACCTGAGAGATATGAGTTGAATGATATTCATCTGGTTATCTGTTTCAGTCCCTGAACAACCACTTAGTGAGGGTTACGCTGGAAGAGACCCCATTCAGTTTACTGAGTCCTTGCACTATCTGAGTTACAGTGGGATTCATCCACCTTCTCTACCCTACCCATTCTCCCTCAGTCCTATTGATGTGACCTACCTATCAGTGGTGTTACTGGACTGCAATTCTTGACCTGTTTGGTCAAACATGGTGCACTGGCTCTGAGGCCATATGCACTCATAGTATCCACATGTGCAGCATAGAGATAATACCCTGCCAATAGCAGACTGTTCTGCCCAGACAAAAGAAAAAAAGGACTATAAAGTACTTCCATACTTAGTAGGCCATTGCGTGAGTGCCTGGAGTGTAAGCTATGGTTGATTTTTGTAAAAATTCCTGTGAGAAAGCTGGATTTCTTGTGGGTGGGTTAATGCATGTGGACTTAAAAAAAAAAAAGGTAGAATGCTGGAGGTAACATCAAAGTTGTGGGTGTTTACGTGCACTATCATCCTTAAGTTCAGACACATGTAAGTGCTAGTATGTTTTGGTGAGGTCAGTCAGCTTATCTTTCCTTAATTCTTTTCATTAAAAATGCTTATACTCTCAGGGCAAGTGGTTGCTCTTAAGTGTCAAAAAGTTAGAGCTAAGGCTACCATATCAGGACTGAAAAAATCCAGACAGTGGCTAGAAAGCTGCAAAGAATTGTAGTTTTCTGTGTCTCTTTGCTAGTAGTTAAACAGGTTTTTCTAGCCTTGGAGGCTTGTTCTGAATCCCACTGCTTTCCATAGCTGAAATACTTGAAAGCATTTTGGGATTTGATTCTGCCAAAGCGTGGCCAATCTGAAACAGTTCAGCAGAACTTCTGAAGATAAGGTTTTGTTTCATATTTGAAACAAAACGTGTATTCTGTTTTTGTGTTCACTAGTTGGATAGCTTTGGAAAATAGGACATTAATACATTACTTTCTGCCTTCCTATTTAAATTCTGTTTTATGTTACAATTTTGAACAGTCATTTTCTTTTTTATTTTTATGTGTGAAATATATAATCTCTCATACTGCAGTAATTATATTCAGAGAAGTTGTTTAGATTCATTTTTTTTTAATTGAAGTGGCTTAAAAGCATTTGGAACAAATGAGTCCAACCCCCCCACCCCCAAAAAAGAACAAGAAATGACATCAATTCAGCAAAATACATACTTTACATCTTTTCCTGTATCTCATTTAGCCAAGATACAGGAAAAGTACTTGCAGTACTTCCTTCTATATATTATTTATTTACATTATAGGTCCTATAAATTCCATATAAATTTAGTATTTTCTGGACCGATCCTACTCATCTGGTGTTCAATATTAGATCTCTACTGAGAATGCTACTTCAAAAATGTTTATTTGATTCAGGGGATCAGTCCTTGCTTAAGAGTTTATTTGTACAGTTTTCTGTGGCTGTGGACTGGACTGAACTTTCTTAAGGCTGCTGATCTTGTGTATTTAAATTTGATTTTAAGCTTATTTTTACATATAATTTTTATTAAGAATTTTGATTATAATAGTAAAATCTAAAATTAAAGGAAGTAAAGAGAATAAAAATAAGGAGTTTAGTGCAAGAAAAGGGAAAAAAGAGAAGAAAGAGAAAAGGAAGAATATAATAAAGAGAAAATATATAAAGAAGTGACTTCCAACCTTCATCATAACAAGTATAAACAAATTTAGTGACTCTTCACCCCCTCTAAGGTTGCAAACATTTATCCTTTCATCCCATATCCCATCCCTTATCTATAGACAAATCCATAAGAATCATCTTTTCAGTCTTGGTGTCAGTAGAAAGTCCGTAAATGGTTGCCGGAGGTAACAATATATCTTATTTTAACCTTGATTAAATAAACAAACTTTATATTCTTTCCTTTTACTTCTAACAGTCTTAATCTTTAGTTCATTCAAATATTGTCAT